ACATTTTGTCAGAACTCTCTGTCATGACCTGTCCGTCTTGGGTGGCCCTGCACGGCATAGCTCATGGCTTCAGATGGCTTGGAGTTACACAAGCCCCTTTGCCATGAGAAGGCAGTGATCCATGAAGGGATCACAGCTAGGTATGGGTAGATGCTAATATACCCATGTCCTGCTCAGATGTTTCTGGCTGGCTATTGTAGGAAAAGAACACAAAAGTCTGATAAAATATTTTTCTTAAGGGTTTTTTTTTTCAGATATAAATGGAACTTGTGATATAACATTGCAGTAAATAATGTACCTATTAAAGTTTCTATTTAATTAGAATAGTTACAGTATTTTCAACAAAAACTCAACATTCCATAACTCAATTTAGATTGAATTGCTTTGAATTTTCCAACTCCTTGTTCCCTCTAGATATATTTTTGTACTTTTACAAAGCTTGAGTTCCATGAACCTTGACATTTAACTATCTGGTCACCTATAATTTGAATGTATGCATATTTACAAATACAGATGCCTCCTATTTATGCAGTACCTCCTTCAAAACCAAAGTGTCAAAGTAATTAGGGTCTTAAAAAAAAACTTGGCATCTGGCTTCTGGTGGGGATTAATGGCAGGCTGACGCTCTGCAAAGCATGGAGAGACACTGCAGCTGAGAAACGCTGGCTGGGAGGCGGATTCCAGCCAGCCCAATCTTCCTGGATCAAAGAAACATTGGGAGATTAACCACATGTGCTCTGGACGACAGTTCCTTCTGAATTAACTGCAGAAACTGAAGTTTTTGCAGCCGGCTTGGGAGGTAGGCACTGGGAGACCTGGAATTCCATCTATGCTCCTAACTGGGGTGGGGTGAAATGGACATCACAGCTTTGCTTCTCCTCATTTCTTAACCATTTTGTGAAGTAATTAATTGCAGATGAAGAGAGATTTCCTCTGCAGCAAAGATAAGACTCCTTGTGGTGAGTTAAACCTTCTTTCAAGATTATAAAAATAACACAAGAGAGACTTTAATTGAAAGATTCAAGAACTATTTGCAAAAAGCTTAATTAAGAGAAGATATAAGAAAGTTTTTTAAAACAGACAAGGGAACAATTTTTTTGTTTTTCTTCCTATTTTTCTATTTCTATTTTTATTATTTTTACTTTTGTTGAAAGTGCTTTGCTATATTTTTTTCTTAAGCCAGCTAGAGATTAGCCTGGCATGGGAATGTTACTAGCTAGCCTTAAAGAGTCTATGTGATTGGTGGAATCTGCATAATAAAGTATAGTTGCCATGGAAACATGAGCTTTGTTGTGGTGAAAGTTATTGAGTGCTACTAAAGTGAAAGTGTTTGAAACAAGAAGATAACAAGAAAAAGAAAGGCAGAAGCTTGTCTTTTTATTTTGCTGGCTTGGGACTTTTTTTGCTTTTGGATTAAAAATGAACATTAGAAAAATGGCAGAAGAGGCTTGCTAGAACCACCTACAGAAAAAATAATTACACAAGATATGCTTCAGAAATTTTTTGAGCATATGGGAAATAAATTGGATGCATTCAAGAAAAGAATGGATGAAAAATTTGTAAAGCTAAGAGAAGAGATGAGAGAAGATGTTAAAAAGATGGAAAATTCTATAAAACAAATATCTGGAGAGGTAAAACAAATTAATAATAGAGTGGACATTTTAGAGAGAAAGTCTGAGGTTCAAAGCAGAGAGATGGAAAGTGAATTGGATAACTTGGCTTTACTGGAATTGAGGGAGAAAGAATTCTATTTGAGATTTAGAGCTGTTCCAGAGATCCCAGATGAAAATATTAGAGAGTGGCTTATTAATGTTTTGGCAACTTTTTTGGATTTAGAAGAGGAAGATATGGAGACAGAAATTGATAAGATTTATAGAATAAATTCCAGATTTGCCAGGATGAGGAATGTCCCTAGAGATATCTTGGTGCATTTTGTTAGAAGACAAGGGATCAAGTCCTGCAGCAACATTTTAATATATATGACAACTGCAGCAAAACTATTTCATGCTCAAAAATGGAAAAAACTACCCACAATGAGGAATGGCTGGTGAAGATGATGGAACTTGCAGAGATGGGCAAACTGACTTCTTTGATTAGAGAAAAACAATATCTACATTTATGGCTGACTGGAAACCCCTTATAGACTTTTTGCATGAAACGGAAAAAAA